TGAAACATTTGCGTAAATCAGCTTTAAAATATTTGCTATTATCATACTACTACTACAGCGAAAATATTTTTTCAGCAACTTTGTGAAAGAAGAAAGTATATTATTTCAAAGAAACTTAAACTATCTTTAATGTTAGGTCTTGAAGAGGGGCACAGCGGTATGTCTGCGGACTTATACCGCTAGAAACCGGGTTTCGATACCCGTGGTGGGAACAGCACAGATAGCCAATTGTGTAGCTTTGTGCTTAATAACGAACAACAACTGGTCTTGAAGAACCAATTTCTTCTATTCTAGAGTTATATTTGAAAGTAAGGATGTAAGTCTCTGACTTTATGAAAGTGAAATAAAGTGCTTCTAATATATTACATTCTAGAGAGGTTTAATGTACTGCCATTTGTATTTTGAAAGACAGCGGAATAAAAAATCGTAGCGTGTTTATTTGGTATTCAAAGTTTATTTTATGATAATTATATTAATGTGCATGTTAGCTTTCCTTTATTTTACTGTCTAATATCTATTCATTAAGCCCCCAGTGGCACAGCGGTAATTCTATGGACTTACAACGCTAGAAACCGGGTTTCGATACCCGTGGTGGGCAGTGCACAAATAGCCCATTGTGTAGCTTTGTGCTTAACTTCAAACAAACAAACAAATCTATTCACTATTGCTGTGATACTGAAACATCTAGAAAGCATTGGTTATGAGTAAATATTTTGAACTTTCGTTTAATTACGTTCTTGAGACATATTTTGTACCCGGATGTACACTTTAATTTAACCTTCCTGTTATCAATGTTGTCCACATGGACCACATACATTTATAGATAAGGAATTACAGTATTTTTAATTTGTAAGTACTTTAACTTTTTATATTGATGCTTAGGCTAGTAAAAGACAATATACAGCGTTATAAAGATTTAAAATATCATCGAGAAATTAGAAAATGAGAGTAGTAGGGAGGTTGAAGAAGAAGAAGAAAAAACATATCAGTAAACTGAGAAAAAATCGTTTTCAACCCTCACAAATGGCACATAATATCTTGGAATGTTCATTACACAGAAAATGTTCGCATTTTTTCACTCCTTTCTCTTCATTTGCTTGACATTTCTTGAGCGGAGAACTGCAACGACTGTGATTTCTTGTGCCAGTCTCTGATTTTGCAGTCCGTGTCAGATTTTGTTACACTTGGTCACTATCTCTTTATTTTGTTGATTTATATCTCTTCCTAGCACTTTCAGGAAATGACATTTCTTATGTGGTTGCCCCCCCCTCCCCCCTAGTAAGGAAAGTAAAGAAAAGAATTGACGGAAATGCTAGCACTACAAGCTCTAATGAAAATGAGACTGATGATAAAAGTAATAAAAAAATTGCAAATGCAGCTGTCGAAAACTAAAGAAGTGACGAGGTTTACAAACCAAGATAGCAACCAACTGAAGAAGATCATCCGCAAATATGTGCAAAGAAACATCATGTCCAACCATACATATGCAAGAAGAAATACTGACACAGTATTACCTGCATTCAATATATTTATGAAGAGCCTTATGGGGGACATTTTGAAATGAATAAAAAAGAAGAGGATGTATTGAAGTAAAAATGAAATCATTTGGATTCTAACAGATTGTAATGTTTTCTTTTAGTGTGATGGTACTGGCTGGTACTTATAGATAAAAAAACGAAGCAATCCGACAGCTTCGAAGTCTAAATAATGGTAGCCCAATTATTTCAAACACAATAGAACGTAACAGATGCCATCAAATTTCAAAATGCCTATGAAAGAAACAAATTAATACGTTTATCCTATAAAAAAACATAATCAGTAAGTAGTTGCAGACGCTTCATCAGTGGTATGTGCCATCAGAAAATGTGACCATTGTTGAGTAACAAGTCATATTCCGTGGCAACTGCCTCTTTAAACAATATATTCTAAGCCAAAGTGGAATATATAGCATAAAACTTTGGACATGTTATGATAGAGCCACATCCTATGTTTTTACCCAGTAAAAAAAGGGTCGCCAAGAAAACAAAACCAAAGTGAGAAAAATGTACTGGACACAGTCCAAGGAATAAATAACAGTGGACATAATGTTACTTGTGTTAACTTCTATACGAGTTCGAAGTTGGTCAAGAAATAATTGGACATGCGAGTAAAAAAACGTGGTACAATAAAAGGGAAACAGGGCTGGACTGTCACTTGAAATGGTTTCCGTAAAAACATACCAATTTCTCAACTAACTTTGCTTTTAGTGAATTTGCTGCCCTAATGTCATCTTGACAAAAAAAAAAAAGAGAAAAGGCCGTTGTGTTAATTTAGATTATACAGAGCCAGAAAGCTAGTAATGATGCTAGATTACCCGAGTACTCAAGGTAAAATGGATACTCGTGACAAATGCTAAGGGCTACTCAACTGAAAGAAAGACAAACTGATAAAATATTGCTGCTCTTTGCTATACGTTTGATGTGCTTTTTATCATATGGATCTACCTAGCCCCCGAAGTGGAATAAAGGAAGATCACATAAGTTTGTTTTGTTTGTTTGTAGTTAAGCACAAGGCTACACAATGGGCTATATGTGCTCTGCCCACCACAAATATCGAAACCCGGTTTCTAGCGGCATAAGTCCGCAGACATACCGCTGTGCCACTCTAGCACATAGTCTTCAGTAAACTCACAGTCATCTTCGTACTAGCTAGCACATAGTCTTCAATAAAGTCACAGTCATCTTCGTACTAGCTAGCACATAGTCTTCAATAAAGTCACAGTCATCTTCGTACTAGCTAGCACATAGTCTTCAATAAACTCACAGTCATCTTCGTACTAGCTAGCACATAGTCTTCAGTAAACTCACAGTCATCTTCGTACTAGCTAGCACATAGTCTTCAATAAAGTCACAGTCATCTTCGTACTAGCTAGCACATAGTCTCCAGTAAACTCACAGTCATCTTCGTACTAGCTAGCACATAGTCTTCAATAAACTCACAGTCATCTTCGTACTAGCTAGCACATAGTCTTCAGTAAACACACAGTCATCTTCGTACTAGCTAGCACATAGTCTTCAGTAAACACACAGTCATCTTCGTACTAGCTAGCACATAGTCTTCAGTAAAGTCACAGTCATCTTCGTACTAGCTAGCACATAGTCTTCAGTAAACTCACAGTCATCTTCGTACAAGCTAGCACATAGTCTTCAGTAAACTCAGTCATCTTCGTACTAGCTAGCACATAGTCTTCAGTAAAGTCACATTCATCTTCGTACTAGCTAGCA